ATTCTAAAATTTATGTGCCAATGCAAACAATCTAGAATAGTCAAAGCAATTTTAAGAAAAGAATAACAAAGTTAGAGGACTTACACTACCTGATTTCAAGACTTCCTCGAAAGCTACAGTAAAAACAAGACAGTGTAGTATTGACAAAGGACAGACATATAGAGTAATGAAATAGAATAATGAGTCCAGAAACTTAGCCAGTCGTATATGGTCAATTGATTTTTGACAAAGGTGCCAAGGCAATGAATTGGGAAAAGAAAAGTCTTCTCAACAAATGCTGCTGAAAATTGAGCATCCTTATTAAAAGAAAAAAAGAATACGGTCCTTACCTCATGCCGTACATAAAAATTAACTTGAAATTGATCTTAAAATAGATCAATTGATAAAACTATAAAACTTTGAAAGAAAAAAACATTTGCAAATGTGGAGTAGGCAAAGACTTCTCATACAGGACACAAAAAGCACAAACCAGAAAGAAGACAAGTTGATAAGTTGAACTTTATCACCATTAAAACATTTCCTATTCAAAAGATACCATTAAGAATTAGGTTATGGTTTCTTAAATATGACACCAAAAGCATAAGCAACAAGAGAAAAAATAAACTGGACTATATCAACATTAAAAACTTTGGTGCTGCAAATGACATCATCAAGAAAGTGAAAAGAAAACCCACATAATAGGAGAAAATATTTGCAAATCATGTCTGATAAGGGACTCGGATATAGACTATACAAAGTCTTACAGCTCAAAAATAAAAGACAAATATCCCAATTTTAAAATGGATAACATATTTGAATAGATATTTCTCCAAAGAAAATACACAAGCGCCAATAAACACATGAAAAGATGCTGAACATCATCAGTCATCAAAAAAATGCAACTCAAACCACAACGAGATACCACTTCAGCCCCCCAAGGATGGCTGTCAACAAAAAGACAGATAAAACAAGTAATGGAGAGGATGTAGAGACACTAGAATCCTCATCCACTGCTCATGGGATTGTAAGTCACTTTGGAACATAGTTTGGAAGTTCCTCAAAATGTTAAACATAGAGTTACCACTTAATAATTCCACCCCTAGGTATATACCCAAGGGGAAAGCAAGCATATATCCATACAAAAGTTTGTACATGAATATGCCTAGCTTCATTATTCACAATAGCCAAAAAGTAGAAACACCCTAAACGCCCATCAACTGATGAATGGGTAAATAAACATGACATATCCATATTGCTTGGAAATAAAAAGGAATAAAGTACTGATACATGCTCCAACATGGATAAGCCTTGAAAACATTAAGCTAAGTGGAAGAAGCCAGTCTCAAAACATCACGTATTGTATGATTCCATTTCTATGAAATGTCTAGAATAGGCAAATCCATAGAGACAGAAAGTAAGTGGTTGCCAGGGGCTGGGGAAGGGAGGAACTGAGAGTGACTGCTAATGAGTGCAGGGTTTCTTTTAATGGGACAAAAATGTTCTAAAATTAGACTGTATGATGATTGTACAAGGCTGTGACTAATAAAAACCACTGAACTGTATGTTTTAAATGGGTAAATTGTATGGTATGTGAATTACATCTCAATAAAGCTGTTTTTTTAAAAGGGCACCACTAAGAAAACAAAAAAAGCAAGCTCCAGAATGGGAGTTAATATTCATATTACATATATCTATCAAAGGATAGACTATATAAAGGACACTTCCAACCCAATAATATGATGATAAACAATCCAATAAAAATGGAGGAAAATATCTGATCAGACATTTTACCCAAGAAGATGTACAAATGGCCCATTAGGACATAAAAAGATGACTGACATCATCAATCATCAGGGAAATGCAAATTAAAACCACTACAAGATACCACTACGCCCACTAAAATGGCTAAAATTAAAAGCATCAAGTGTTGGCAAGAATGTAGAGAACAGGAACTTAACATACACTGCTGGCAAAAATGTAAAACGATAGAACCACTTTGGAAAACCATCTAGCAGTTTCTTAAAAACTTCACCATAACACCTCCCCTATGGCCCACTCATTCTACTCCTAGTCTTCACCCAAATACACGTTCACACGATGCTTGTACATGAACGTTCACACACATTTATTTATAACAGCCTCCAAGCTGGAAACAACCCAAAATGACTTTCAACAGGTAAGTGGATAAAATGTGGAACATCCATAACAATGGAAAGCTTCACGGCAATAAGAAGGACCGGACTACTGATCTATGCTACTACACGGATGAATGTCAATAATCATGATGAGTGAAGTAAGCCAGACACCAAAGTGCACATATCATATAACTCCATTCATACAGTATTTTAGAAAATGCAAAATAATCTCCATTGAGTGAAAGTGGATCACTGGCTGCCTGGGGTCAGGGGCGAGGGAGGGAGGACTTCAAAGGGCCACAGGGGATCCTTTGGGGTGATGGACATTTTCTGTTCTTGGTTGTGGCGGTGGTTTCATGGATGGGATTCTCTCACATTCATCATCGTTTAAATGGGTGCAGTTAGTTGTACATAAATTAAACCTCAATAATGTTGATTTAAAAGAAGTAATGAGTGCCAATGAAAAAAGAATTTATACAAGTTAACAGTTTGTAATTAGCATACCCAATATTTTTTGTGAATTGTGCTTCTAAATTGATTAATGGTACAGGTAAATAGTCTTTTCCTTAGGTACTTCAAACATTCATCGCCTCTAGATCTGGATTTTGTGATTAACGTGACTGTCAGACCTCATACCATGCACTCCAAAGGTTAATTCCAGCCCAACTCATCTCTGAATTAATACAAATTCTGAATAAGTGTAGTCCATATTAAGGAGGCTTTGGGAAAATTGCAAAATAGTGAAATTCCTGATAAAAAAAGCTCAGTGAGAGAGTGGGGACGACTGCGCCGACCACATCTTCCAAACTTTGTTCTAAGGTTCGATCTGTTCCAGGCACTTTTCTGCTCTCCTGCCAGCTGACCTTTACATAAACTTCGGCAGGTAAGTACACAATTAAGTTGCTCAGAGAGGCAGAAATTAAACCTACTTGAACTCTATCTCGTAAAATTACAGACCAGCTGCGGAAACTTACTGAGGAAATGCTATAAAAGTCCATACAGAAACCAGACTGTACTGAAGCCCTCTTATTTATGACAAACTATTTCCCACACATATTTCCCGTTCAATGCTTATTATAGCCCTCTACTGTCAATATTATCAGCCCTCTACTGTCAATATTATCATCCCCCTTGTTTCCCATCAAGGAAATTGATACTCAGAGTGGCCTAATTCTTTGCCCAAATTTACCAAACTATTAAGGGAGAGTCAGACCTGAGATTTACATATTTGGAGTACTTTTAACCGATTTCTTTAGTTACAGTTCCACGAACAGAGAACTTAAGTAAGTGAGTACATACAGCTTTGGATTCAAGTATTAATATTTTTTCGGCATCACTAATAAAAAAGCACACATTTAAATACACAACTGACATTTTTGTGGGGCTTTTTCTTGTCACCAAAATGTCCTATTCTTCCAATTGGCAGTCAACATTTGGAGGGAAAGTGGTTCACCTGGTTCTTTAAGAGCAGACTCTATATCCAATGTGAGCTCCTAGGGAGCATTCCAGATCTGGGGAGAGCTACACTTTCTAGGAAGAACTAGAAATATGATAAATTATAAAACAAACAGCCTATCAAGGAGCTGGAAAAGACTGTGCTTAGGTAATTGGGATCCAGCAGCCAAATACTGCTTAAACTACCTGTCTCTGGGCTGACAATAACACACGAATCCAATAAACTGCTGGTCACCATCTAGGACTGTCATTTGCCAGAGAAAAATCATCCACATGCTTCTAGTTTGGACACTTTTCAAAATGTTTATACAAAAATGTCACAACCTACTAAAAATACTTTAAAGATAAGGAGAGATTAAATAAATGCATTGGTGAACACTTATTTGCCTCCTAAAAACGACCCCCCGTTAATGTGTTGTTTAAGCATGCATAAGGAAAAAGACAATAGATGAAAATTAAATTGTGAGCCTAACCCTCAATTGTTCTAAATACCTTTAGCAATCCAAAGTGTGAAAAGCATTAATAAATAATGAAATTTAAGTATATATTCTGACTTTCAACAAAAATCCTCTTTGGTCATCAAGCTCAATAACGGGGTGCTCCAGAATTTATTTACCTAAGTTACTCAAGCATAACAGTTTTACGCAGTTTCCATCACTTAATTATAATAAATTTAGTCCTGGGATACTCCTAGGAATTATGTCACTTAGAGTAAAGCATGTGTGCAAGTGAGGAGGCTAATTTCATCTTACATCTAAAAAAACACATGTTCAAGGAAAGTCTCCACCTGCATTTTCAGCTTTCTTATTTATTCCATCTTCTGGTAATCTCCAGTGTTACTGGAATGCAGAAATAATCTAATGGGGGTGGTAACACCATGGTCTGACTCCAATTATTCTTTTCTTGTATCTGGTATGAATTCCAGCTCTGTCACATGTGCATTTATTTATCTGCCAGCAGGAGAGTAGAAGGGAAAGGACAGAACACACAGCAACCATCTGCTGCCCTCCCCCAGCCTCCGTAGCAATGAAGACAAGGGTGGGAGTTCCTTCTAGAGACAGGAGCAGAGTGTACTTCACAGTGGGCCCACGGAAGTGTTTTCAGGAAGCAACATTTGGACCTTGCACATTAAAAAGCAAAGGAGACATCCTGAATATAGGCATCGTGCAATAGTAGCATCAGATCCCATTGCAAGGGCTCTAGATTTTCAGTCTGGCCCAGCAGCTGCAGACTAGACCAAGTGAGGTCTGCAGACTCCTGTGTTTGGTCCACTGTCTTTAGATGGATCCATGCTTCTCCAATGTTCCACAGTTCTCATCACTCCCTATGTCTCACCTGACACACTAAGTCAGTCTATTTTACCACCTGATCCGTTAGGCATTCGAGTTTGCAACCCGTGGTCTGCGCTCATCAATTAAACAAGGTACTTACAGCTGCATGACCAAGTACAGGTGATTTGGGCTTTCATAAATGTCTTCCAGGGCAACAATGTTTTCATGCTTAATCCTGAAAGAAGGAAAAAAAAAGCACATGCAGAATGGTAAGTACAATTGGAAATGACAACTTTAAAAACAGACATGATTATAGCAAAATGTTCCAAGACAGAATCCAAACTCCTTAACATGACATTTTAGACTCTTCCCAATCTTGTCCCCAAACTTTTTTCCAGACCCATTTCCCCTACTCTCTGCTCCCCTTCATTCCTGAGGCTCTAGACTCTACAATGTAGCAATGCTGGATTAACTATTGTCACTTCATGTATAGCCCAGCCTCCTTGCACATATCCATGTGAATCCCAGGAATGGGTCAAACTTGTAAAAATCTTATCAGCTTTCAGGGCCCAACTCAAAAGGCTGAGCACCCATGGAGAATTTAATTACTCCCTCTTCTGTAGACTCATAATGGCCAAGAAAGACTGACCTCAACAGTTCATTGTATGCAAACCCATCCCCATAACAGGCTGGATGTTCCAGGGAATGGTTTCATTATCATGCTCATGACTCCAGTGTAGGCAAAGGAAAATCAGATGACCCCTTCATTGGGGTTTTAGTCTCCACCACCAGCAAAGATCAATTCAGCACCCCAAGTGAACTAGACTGGCACTATTGCAAGCGTGCTTCCCAAACAGCCAGCCCCAGCACTTCCTGGCAGCTTGTTAGAAATGCAAATTCTCAGGCCCTACCCCGTCAGACACAATCAAAACCCCTGAGGGTGGGGCCCAGAAATCTGTTTTAGTAAGATCCTCAGATGATCTGTATGCGCAAAGCAGAGCTGGAGAAATTCTGTAATAGACCAGTGCTTCTCAAACTTCAGCGTGTACACAAATCACCTGGGATGCTGGTTGCACTGTGCATTCTAATTCAGAGGGTCCAGGGCAGGGCTGAGAGTCCGCATTTCTAACAAGCTCCCAGGAGATGCTGCTGCTGCGAGTCTGTGGACCACACTCTGAGCAGCGAAGTTCTAATAGAACTCAGGGAGAAGCAAACAGCTTAATGCTAGCCCCTGGAACTCCCCATTAAGAGTAGTTTCTGCTCAGAATGTAAGATATTTACTTAAAGCATTTGAGAGGAGAACCATTTCATTACTCTATGAGCTAATTAGCTCTTACGGCAAGCTTTTCACTCAAATGACTGCTGAACCGTCTAAAAGCAAGCATTTAACATGCAGATTCCTGAGAATCCTTGAAAGCTGGGACTACATCTTGGTCAGGTTGTTTCCCCAGCATTCTTAGCATCGACCTGCTTGATAAATGTTTGCTCAATGAGTGAATGATAGTTAAAGGGTGTTGCTCCTAAACAGCAAAGGTCATTATTTACTTAGAGAAAGTGGAGGCAATTTTCCTGAGTGTGAGATGCATTCCCCTCCAAAAGAAGTTTATAAAGTGGAAGAAGCCAGAATATTATCCTGCCTTTGAGCAGAGGAAAGAAGAGATCAAAACAGTTAACTGAGAGAGTGGCAATGTTTTGCTTTGCTTTCTCAGCTCTTATTAGTCAACACAGTTGACTTATAGGAGCTTGGATGATAGATTAATAGATTAATTCTATTAATAATAGACATTATTAGTATATAATATATATTTTATATAATATTAACAATATAATATAAATTATAATATATTAATATTCTATCTATATATCTATTAATATCTATTAATATTACTAATATCTATTAATAGATTAATAGACATCAAATTCACATTTCACCTGATTCCAATGCACAGAGCCTAATTATTTATTTGTTAGCAGTGGTTACTGCAATACCTGAGCAAAAGAGTATCAGCAATATATTATATGAATCAAGTAAATATGCCACCAAGGAGATCAAGAGAGATTAATTTTGGACTGCCAAGATTCTAGACATTTGTGGAATTATCATTATTGGATATACGTGAAAGAATATGACCACAAAAAGTATACAGTGTATGGATTTTTCTTTTTCTTAATTTTCAAAAAATTGCTATTGGAATTGACAAATAGAAATGGCAAGCAATAGGAATATACTGGAGTATATGAGGAAGCCATTTGGTGTAAACCTAATTCAGCTTGACTTTGTTTTTCCAAAAGAGACTGACATGGCCATTGAGCATCCATTGTATACCTGCTTATACATTTACTATGGCAAGAACAAATGGCCTTAAGATAAAGGTGCAACTTCCTCCCACATTGGCATTTCCTTAAGGATAAGCATCTTTCCTTAGGCTAGGAACTGATTGTTGCACTCACCTTTGATCACCCAGCTCAGCTGTGACCACCCAGCTCAAGACAACAGACCTGCCACCCTGCTGTGTCCACCAAGACAGCAGACCCACCTGCTGTGTCCATCAATCGCTGTGCAGACAGAGCAATCTCACAACTATTGTAAAAGGGACATTTCAATCCTATGTGAAACATCCTCTCTGGGGGTATATAACCACTCTGTACACCCCACTTCTTTGGTGTCCTTTCTTCCTTCAGGAAGAAAGGCCCTGGGCCATGGTCCTCACATTTTAGCTCAGAATAAACTCACCCAAATTTTCATTTATAGATTGGTTATGGATTATTTTCATCGACAGAATCAATTACATGGACATAAATATTTTCTTTCAGTCATGTTAATTTGGGGGTTAATTAAAGCTTAGATTAATGGGGTAACAAAAAGGATGGGGTTTTTATGTAGAATTGCCAGTTACGTTTAATTCTAGATAAACAACAAATACTTTTTCAGTATAATTATGTCCCAAATATTGAGGTGCTGTTTATCTGAAATTAAAACGTGACTGGGCACCCCACATTTTCATGTGCTAAATCTGGCCACCCTAGTTACATGAATCACAGTCAATGAGTCTCTAAACTGAGCTTAGAGATTTGTACCTACAGTCCCAGCTCCCAGCTCCCCTCAGAGGTTGAGCCAAGAAGGCTATTTAAGCCCTGGAGTACAGCCATTAATAGAGATTCAACTATATACAAAGAATCAACTATGCACAGAGCACTTGCCCAGCCAAAGTAGGAGACTCTAATAAATTAAGAACATAATCCCTTCTTTGGATGCAAGGGGTCGAGAAATTAATGTCTACTTAACCTGCCATGTCTTTCTTACATGAGCTCTTGTAGTGGCTAGAATGAGATGTCTACTGACTATCTCTCTTAACTAATGAATGAAACAATCAAGCAATTGTCATTTACTGGGTTTCTGCTATGTGTCTGGGAAAATACAAGAAAAAGATAAAATAAGATTTTGCCCTCAAAATGCTTATCACCTAGACGAAGAGCCCCATGAAACGAATAGGAAAGAATGAAATGCTAAACTCTGTAGAACTGCTATTAAATTGAGAGAAGGCAAGGCCCCGTAGGGGTCAGAATTATGGCTAAGGCCGCAAGAAAATGATGGAGGCCAAGCTGGGATGGGTGATGTTTGAATAAGCATACTTCAGAACTTTCAAAGAAATCCTAAAATGGCCTCTTAAAAGTGTCTTAAGCAAAGGAGTTTAATTAACGTGTAGATGTTAGAACGTGGTGGAAGAAAACATTCTGGCCTCCCACATCTGTTCTCAGGTACTTTATTCCACCCTCAGATTCCTTAAGATATACAAAAACTGAAGCTAAAAATTTAACATTATTTTAGTACCTAGATTATCTTCACAAAATGCCATTTGAGCATTCATCCCCACATCTCTGGGCGCCCACCATGTGTGAGGAACAGTATTAGGAATGACAAGGGAGACAGCCTCATGGCGTTCACTCCAGTGGGTATCTGTCTGTAGCTAGGGCACTTCACAGACAGTCTTTCTTATTATTTACCAGTGATTAGCCTCCTTGTAATGAATAGTTACTCCTGGGAGCAACAGAAAACATGCTTACCCCCTCTTCTCACAAATCCTGCAAATATTTCAAGGATATCATGTCTCTATTTAGTCTTGTCTTATCATCAACCAATCCTCCTACAATGTGGCTTATATTCCTCTCATCACATTATTGTCATTCTTGTATGTCCAGACTATGGTATTCAGAAGCAAAAGTAATGATCCCAGGGTAAAATACAGCATCACAAATAGAGTATTAAATAATAGACTAAAACTATTAACCGTCATGAGCTGGATCTTATACTTTTGCAAATAAAGCCTAACACTAGGTTCATTTTTTTTTCTTTTTTTTAGGCAGCTACACAACTGTTGGCATATAATGAATATAAGCTCCATGGAGGTGGGGGTTCTTGACTATTTTGTTCACTACTGTCTCCCCAGTGCCAAGAAAAGTACACGGCAGGTAGTACTTTCAATACATATTTGTTGAATGAGTGAATGAATGAGAGAACAGAAGAATATTAAACTTGGGGTCAGTTAAATGACCAGCTCATTTTTACCTGAACTTCTATCAAACAAGATCTCCTTTCTTATTCAGTCTTAATCTCTTGAGCTTAAAGTCTTCACCTTCAACTTCATGAAATTCAATCTTTTTGGGTTCTATGCAATGCTTCTCATGATCAGGAATATTCTGAAGTTTTACTCTCTCATCTATTATACTTACTATCCCTCTCAACTTAGGGCCATCTGCATATTTGGTTGGTACACATCCTCCCACATGTCTTCATCCAAATGTTTAGTTAAAGTCTTAAGTGAGAAGGTTATATGTCAGAGCTCCATGGTATTCCACCAGAGACCCCCATCAAGATAACCGTGACATTAATCAAGGGCTTCAAGTTGCAAACCCAGCAGTACTGTCATCTAGCCCATATTTTACCACCCTATCCATAACGAGACAATTAGATTCTCTGCTGAAATGGCATTCCTCAGTTTTACACACCACATAATACCATTTAAAAGGGAAATGGATGTTTGGGAAGCTTGTTCCTAGTAAACCCATGATGGCTCCTAGCAACCACTATAGTCTTTACTAAATGATCACAAACCATCTGCTTAATTTACTCTTCCAGAATTTTGCTGCGCATTGAAGTCAAACTTCCCAGTCTGTATATCTCATATTCTATCTTTTTTATGTTTGGAAAATTGAGCAACATCTCTTATATTGTTT